ATATATATATATTACACATATACCCCTACATACATATATAAATAACCATGTCACACCCTAATGATCAGCAAAAAGAAGAAGAAAAAGAAAAAAGATTACAATTACTCAAACCGCAGCTTGTATGAATGCCTAAATTAGTTGATTCAAGAACATTTAAAGGCATCTAAACAGGTCAGTCTTCTTGAATTCTTGGAAAACATTTGAATTAACCTTTATTTTGCTGCTTCATACCTTTTTGTACCCCGTCACTGAGGTGGGGGGAAAAAATGCTCTCCATCAGGTCCGTCCATTCGTCCATCCGTCCATGTTCAGAAAGCTGTAACTTTCACATAGAAAGGCTAAAATACAACAAATTTGGTACAAGTCATCCATGTTGCATGCCTGACCATACCATGTGGTCATATATTATGAAAGCCCCTCCCCCTGACAATGAGAAGTGACTATTTTTGGCTTGGAAAGCTCTATCTCTGACCCTCTTGACCTAATTAGCAACAAATTGTGTCAGAACACAGAAGAACTTCATCTCATTTGCTTTCAAGCACAAACACGTTTTGGTCATGGGTCATGGTCAAGGGAAATTATATTTGAAATTAAAACAAAATGCTCACCATCCTCTGCCACAATTTCCAAAAATGCTGTGGCCACCTTTACTCCCAGCATCTGTAAAATGAGTGTTGCCATTTTTACAAAAGTATTTTTTAAAAATGTAAGTTACAAAAAGGAATACTGTGGTTGCAAGTTCATGAAAATGGTGGGTTTGATTTTTGCAAAGGAGACTGACAAGGTTGACCGCTGTCTGGTCAATCAATGGTCTGCAGCCTGACTCGGCTCATTTGGAAGCTTGGTTAAATAAGTTGTAAGAACTGAGCAGAAACCAGGTTGGATCACCCAATGGAAAGACTCAGGAATCGTGCTGAGTCGACCTGAATAGGTCTAAGTCGATTTCATGGAAAAAAAACATAGATGAAAGAAGACAAAACATTCTACATTTTGGTGTATTATTTGTATGTGTACTACAGAGGTTAAAGGAGTAAGAGTTAATTTGCAAAAGCTTTAATAAATCTTCAAAAATTAATGCCCATCACACTCTAACTTGAACATGCTATGAAAATAAAATCATTAAACTCAGTGATTATTAAAAAAAAAATCTTTAGCCAGTTCAGGTTTATAAAGCCTTATATAAAACTGTCTGTGACCCAGGTAAATGTTCAATAATTTTTCTGCTGAGAAGTTTGCCTGAGCTGTAGAGCTCTAAAGAGGAGTGGTTTTCTTACTTACATTATTTCACCACAATACCCATTGGTGTCACTGGGTAAATTTCTCCTAATTTGTCTTTAGTGTCTGATGTACAGCTACAAAAAGACATAGCATGCTATTACTGATCGAGCCGCATGTTTGCATGCTTATTCCCAAAGCTGCAGATTGTGAAAAATCAAAAATTGCAATAGAAGCTAAACAGAATAGAAACTATAAAATGTATGTACTGTATAAATGGTAAAACATGAAGTATACGATCCATAAAACAGAAGACCCAGAAACATTACCTCAAGAAATTCAGTAAAAGAAAATATAATTTTAAATTTTAAAATAACTATAAATGGCCACTTAAAGGGATCTCCGGTTAGTTGTAACATTAGATTTATATGATAAACATATACTTTAAATGTAAAATAATGACTGTAAAAATACTGTAGGATGTTTAGTTTTTATAATTTTTAAACTAAAAGTTTACAAA